CTTCTGACTGCCTACAAAATAAAACCTAGTGTCCTTGTCATGGCATGCAAGCCTCCTCTTTGTCTTCCTCAGTGAATTTTCATCTCTCACCTCCAACTCTAGCCCTAAAGTGCCTTTGCAGTAAGTAGGTAGCACATCAGACTGCTAATTTCACATGTCTGATGCATCCTGCATTTTTATGCCTCTGCTTCTGCTCACACTTTTTCCTCTACCTGCAAAGGCCTTCCCTGTTTAATCATGGTATGATTAATTAATTCTCCCTCACCAGTATTTCCAGGATACTTTATATATATATCTCCATAATGCCCTTATTGCATTGTATAATTGTATTATAACTATATGTTAAGAGGTTTCATTGCCAAAGCTAGCTTCTTAATGACAAGTACAAAGTGTTGTTTTGTTTTGCTGTTTTGTTTTGTTTTGTTTTGTCCAGGGGTAGATTTTTCTTGGTGGTGGTAGGAAAGAGGTTTTTTGTTTGTTTGTTTGTTTGTTTTTGAGACAGAGTTTTGCTCTTTTACTTCTGTTGCCCAGGCTGGAATGCAATGGCACAATTTTGGCTCACTACAACCTCTACCTCCCAGGTACAAGCAATTCTCCTCTCTCAGCCTCCCAAGTAGCTCAGATTACAGGCATGTGCCACCACTCCCAGCTAATTATTTGTATTCAGAAGAGATGGGATTTCGCCATGTTAGTCAAGCTGGTCACGAACTCCTGACTTCAGGTGATCCACCTGCCTCAGCCTCCCAAAGTGCTGGGATTACAGGTGTGCACCACCACACCCGGCCAAAAGAGGTATTTTTATAACTCTCAGATTTATTTATTAGCACAAAAATAACACTCACTAAAAAAGTTCTTAAAGTAATAAATGAAAGCAAAGAAATATAAGAGCAAAAGGTAAGTCTCAGAGTTGAAAAGGCAGTAAAAAAAAATGGAAAGAGCTATGAATACATTCCTACTGTTACAATCAACACATGTAGACCTGGTTGCTACCTTAAACATTAATTTTATTGGATAATTGCTTACATTTGAACACCCTTCTCATTTTATTATATAATCTTTATTTTATAGAAAAAGTAGTTACTTGAGGGCCGGGCATGGTGCCTCACACCTGTAATCCCAGCACTTTGGGAGGCCAAGGCAGGCAGATCACTTGAGGTTGGGAGTTCGAGACCACCCTGACCAACATGGAGAAACCCCATCTCTACTAAAAATACAAAATTAGCTGGGTGTGGTGGTGCATGCCTGTAATCCCATCTGCTCAGGAGACTGAGGCTGAAGAATCACTTGAACCCGGGAGGCGGAGGTTGTGGTGAGCCAGAGATCACGCCATTGTATTCCAGCCTGGGCAACAAGAGGGAAACTCCGTCTCAAAAAAAAAAAAAAAAAAGAAAAGAAGAAGTAGTTACTTGATAAGCCTCATGACTGAAATACAACTATTCAGTAATCCACCTCTGACAGAGAGAAAAATGATGGTAGAAGAATAGATTTTTCTACCAATTATTTGTTGTGTTGTCATTGTAGAGATTATTAAACATCTGTGCTTCAGTTATCTTATCTATGAAAAGAAAGACAATAATTGTACCTGCCTCAGAGGTTAGCTATGAGGATTAAATGGGTTAGTGCATGGAAAGCACTTAGTACATTGCATGCAGAAGTAAACACTCAGGAAAGATGAATGTTATTGTTATTCTAATTAAAACAGCCAACTTGTAGGTATTCATGAGGTCTCGACAGAATTGAATTTTACTTCACAATGTTATTACAAAAACTATTTGTGTATGACAGCCCTCTCAGGCTATTTACAATATAAAATGAATTAAACTGTGTGGCTAGGAGCTAGTAATTTAATCTTGAGGACAATATAATTGGATATCAAGATCAAACAAACACCTGAATGTAAATAAGCATTAGATTTTAAAAACTGAGTAAGCAGAGGAGTAAATGCATCATGCAGCTAAATCAACAAATTGGCAAATATTCATGTTGAATAAAACCTGGGGAAGTCTTCTTTCTCTGTTATTATCAAGAAGGCTGTATATAACACATGAGACTGAGGGCTCTACTTACAAACTAATCTTGATTCTTTCCCAGTGGAGACATTCAAATATAGAATGCAGTCTATGTTCTAAGAGTAGGAGGGATATATGTAACATACTCTATGTCCAGTAACCCAGAAGTAGCACTAGCACCATAAGGATGCACAGTAGGAACTTAAGATATAAAGGAACATAAAAAAACCTGGTCAGAGGCCATGTCTAAATTAATAAAGGTAGATGGTTTATTACATTTATCATCGTAAATAGCAAGAGAAATAGGAGAAAACTAAAAATAAAACCCAATGTCATTGGTTGCCTTTGTTTTTCTATTTTCTTTGTAGTCTATAAATACAACTATCAGAAGATTAATTACAGTTCTAAATTTAACATTAACAAGATTTCTGGAAAGCTACAATATAATTATATGACAGATAAATTTTGTCATATAATTCTAGAATATGACCCCAAATGTTTATTTTTTTTCTTGGCATTAGGTACCATTTTATTGAGCTTAATTTAAATGCTACAACTTGATGCTTAGGGAAATCCATTGAATTATCAACTAATTCACCTTCTAATTTTAAGCTTGTCAATTTTGCTACATAATTAATTTTTATTCTGGAAACTCACATAACTCTTTCTGACACTTTCTCTTGTTTAAAATTGTATTCAAAAGGTAATTTCGGAATCATCTCTTGAAGAGCTCTTATCAGGCAAATTAAAATGAAAAGTTATTTTTGCTCATATTATGAAAACTGTCAGCACTTTTAAATCAATTCCCATAGCACGAAATAAACACCATTGCAGGCCGAGTATGGTGGCTCACACCTGTAATCCCAGCACTTTGGGAGGCCGTGGTGGGCAGATCACCTGAAGCCAGGAGTTCTGAACCAGCCTGGCCAACATGGTGAAATCCCGTCTCTACTGAAAATACAAAAAATTAGCCTGGCGTGGTGGCAAGCGCCTGTAATTCTAGCTACTTGGGAGACTGAGGCACAAGAATTGCTTGAACCTGGGAGACAGAGGTTGCAATGAACTAAGATCATGCCACTGCACTCCAGCCTGGGGTATAGAGTGAGACTCTGTCTCAAAAAAATAAAATAAAATAAACAAAATAGATAAACAAACAAACACCATTCCAAAGGAATTAACCAATTAAGAAAATATTCAGTTTTTTTAATTTAATATTTAGTGCAAATTTTATGATAAGGGAATAGAGGAAATATTGGAAGTAAAGTAGAAATTAATTTGCCACATTACTAATACATCCTGTTGACTTTGAAGTAAGCATTTTACATGTAATCACTGACCTTCTATAAATGTTTCCAGGGAAAATAGCTAAAGACTGTGAGGTTCACTGATACTAAAAACACATATCAAGAATTTTAATTTCTGTCCTGATGGTGCCTAAGCACACCATTACATCATAGGCCCTGTGATCCAATACTAATTTTAGGAAATATGGTCAGAGCATAACTTTCATATTGGCTGAAAAGAATAGAAATAATATGAGAGAAGGGGAGTTAAAAGACCCAGAAAATAAAGTCCAAGAGCTGGATGAAGATAGCAATAAAAATAGGGAAACACATATATATATGTGTGTGTATATATATATGCATGCCAGTGTAAGATAATTTATTTAGGAAACTCCAAGAAATAAGAATGTAAAAATGAGAGACACTGAAAAAACTGTATAGCATGAAATTCAGAGGACAAAAATCAAGAGAGAGAAACCCACAGATGTGGCAGCATTGAAAAAAATTAGACAAACCGATGAGAAACAACCTGTTGATTATGCCCAGAAACCTGACTCCCTGGACCGACAGCATCAGTATCATCCGGGAACTTGTTAGAAATGTAGATTTTAGATCCCCAGGCTCACCAGACTTACCGAGTCACCAACTCCGGAGGGTGAGACACAGCAATTTGCTTTAACAAGCCCTCCAAGTGATTCTGAGGTACTCCAAATTCAAGAACTACTGGTTTAGAATTTCTAAGACTTTAACCTCCATTCTTTACCAGGAGTTGTCTTAGTTGCCCTTTAAAACTGGCTAAATGTTGACATAAAAAAAAAAAAGAAAGACAACTACTTCTCAAATACCCAGTAGACAATCGCTCTTTTTCAGGTATTCAAATTTCTTCTGCCACTCAATTTGCTTAACAGCACTTGCCTTCAGTGAATGTCTGAAAATAAAAATTAAATTTAGTACTGTTAACCCAAACAGTTACTAAAAATTAAATTTAGTACTGGTACCCAAAGTAGAATAGAATAGAAAATATGCTGCATTTCAAGGTTTTCTGTTTTGTTTTTTTGTTTGTTTGTTTGAGATGGGGTATCGCTTTGTCGCCCAGAGTGGAGTGCAGTGGCATGATCTTGGCTCACTGCAACCTCCACTTCCCAAGTTCAAGTGATTTTTCTGCCTCAGCCTCCGAAGTAGCTGGGACTACAGGCATGTGCCACCACGCCCTACTAATTTTTTTTTTTTTTTTTGTATTTTTAGTGGAGACGGGGTTTCACCATGTTGGCCAGGATGGTCTCGAACTCCTGACCTCAAGTGATCTGCCCACCTCAGCCTCCCAAAGTACTGGTATTACAGGAATGAGCTACCAGGCCCGGTTCAAGGTGTTTTATAATATACCTAACCACGTTATATGTATGATTACTCATATTCTTATGAAGTACTTGATATAAAAATATTAAGTATTTTAAAGTATTATTTTATCAGTTCCAATAAAATAGAACTACTTTAAAGTTAATTTAAGGAATATGCAAATATACTAATAGCTCTAACTAAGAATAAAATATCAGGTCTCCATATTGTCCTTTCCTAAAATATAGGTAACTGCTAAAAAGTTATTAAAGAGAAGAGGATTGATAAAAAATAATATGCTATTTATCAAAGATATTAATCCTATTTTATTATAGTCCAAATGTTCTTAATTGACTTGTAATTAATATCACAGACTAAAGCAAAACTTATAAGCCATGAATGGAGAGTCCTTTTTCAGAAGCAAGGTAACCTGGACATTACAATGGTGACTTATACAGAAGAAGAATTTCTATTTCAGGGTGAGTGCCATTAGGAGCTGTCCTTACTAGCAAGTTTCTTTGGTAACTGAGTTGTTTGGTCATAGTAGTCATTATTATAATGGGTAGTGTTGTATAATTATTTGACTCCAACTAATCTTATTTTATCTTTTTAAACCAAATTAACTACTTATATCCATAAAGACAAGTAAGCACTCTGACAGTTTCCTAATTTCATACAATGATCATGGAATCCTAAGGATATACTAATTTTTTTTTTTGCTATTTCTCTTTATATAACCTCCTTAGCTTGACATAAAATATATTAAAAGTTCCTTTAGTCTCCACAAGCCTAATGATAATGTTCTCTATGTAACTTTCAATTAAGTACAAAATTGTTTATTATTTTGAATACTGTTTTTAATATAATATTTTCTCATATTACATCATACAGTTCACAAATGGCACGTGCTTTTGTTCCCGCACCAAACCGAGGGTCGGGCTGCTATTTTCACAGCCCAGTAACGAGATGCAGATAAACTGGGGAGGAAGAGAGTTTTCATTTCTGTAACCGGTTACAGCGAAAAGACCTGGAAATCACAACGTTTTCCAGATCTTAAACGCCTTCTAAGCCATATGTCTGCGTGTAAGTGTGCATTCATCTAAACACAAAGAAGATTAACTTCTTTTCATTTATAGCTGAGGCCTGAGTCCTGAAGGCCTTCTTCTGGAGCCTCAGTAAGTTTACTTAATCTAAATGGGTCTAAGGTGCTGGGGTGATGACCGTTTTCTTGTCTCCTGCTAAATCATAAAGGCTTGGGGAGTTCCTTTAGACCCCAGTAAACTCGTTTGTGGAGTTTCTTCAGACCCCCAATAACACTTGTTAGTCCTAAATGGATCCTGTTAAGAATTCCTTTGTTATTTTGTCATGCTTCAAGCCTAGGAAAATCCTAGGCAAAACTCTTGGTGGGCTCTTTGTTATATTCCGGTCTTTGAATAAGGGCACTGACTCTATCAGCTTTGAATATTTAACTTAACTACTCAGTCAGTAGTACTGAGACAGATGTTATGGAGGCCTGTGTTAGTGAGACCGGGCCTGCCACACTGTTAAACTTTTTCTGACATGGACAAAGAGAAAAACATAGCAAGAGTTAATACAGTTTTAAAAACCAATTCTATAATGCCAGAGATTTCACTGAGTAACAAACTAGTGTATCCATTAAAAATTATTGTATTTAACCTATATTTTAAGAATGTTTTGGAATTTACTGGGTTTTTTTTTTTACTGTTCTCATTGAATTTCTTAAATTAAATAAAAAGGAAAACTAAAACCTCCCACCTGAACTTCATTTTTTTCATATATAGAATATTCTGGGAAAACATAACATACACTTTTTAAAAATTATTCCGAAAGGAAAAGTTCTTGAAGCCTTCTCTGAACTGTTTTTTCTCTTCCCTTGTTACAGGTATCCATTTTTCAGCAACATTAATCTTTTAAAACAAAGAAAATGGATTTCTTAAATTCATCGGATCAAAACTTGACGTCAGAGGAACTGTTAAACAGAATGCCGTCCAAAATTCTGGTGTCCCTCACTCTCTCTGGGCTGGCACTGATGACAACCACTATCAACTCCCTTGTGATTGCTGCAATTATTGTGACCCGGAAGCTGCACCATCCAGCCAATTATCTAATTTGCTCTCTTGCAGTCACAGATTTTCTTGTGGCTGTCCTGGTGATGCCCTTCAGCATTGTGTACATTGTGAGAGAGAGCTGGATTATGGGGCAAGTGGTCTGTGACATCTGGCTGAGTGTTGACATTACCTGCTGCACGTGCTCCATCTTGCATCTCTCAGCTATAGCTTTGGATCGGTATCGAGCAATCACAGATGCTGTTGAGTATGCCAGGAAAAGGACTCCGAAGCATGCTGGCATTATGATTACAGTAGTTTGGATTATATCTGTTTTTATCTCTATGCCTCCTCTATTCTGGAGGCACCAAGGAACTAGCAGAGATGATGAATGCATCATCAAGCACGACCACATTGTTTCCACCATTTACTCAACATTTGGAGCTTTCTACATCCCACTGGCATTGATTTTGATCCTTTACTACAAAATATATCGAGCAGCAAAGACATTATACCACAAGAGACAAGCAAGTAGGATTTCAAAGGAGGAGGTGAATGGCCAAGTCCTTTTGGAGAGTGGTGAGAAAAGCGCTAAATCAGTTTCCACACCGTATGCACCAGAAAAGTCTTTAACTGACCCATCAACAGACTTTGATAAAATTCATAGCACAGTGAGGAGTCTCAGGTCTGAATTCAAGCATGAGAAATCTTGGAGAAGGCAAAAGATCTCAGGTACAAGAGAACGGAAAGCAGCCACTACCCTGGGATTAATCTTGGGTGCATTTGTAATATGTTGGCTTCCTTTTTTTGTAAAAGAATTAGTTGTTAATGTTTGTGAAAAATGTAAAATTTCTGAAGAAATGTCCAATTTTTTGACATGGCTTGGATATCTCAATTCGCTTATAAATCCACTGATTTACACCATCTTTAATGAAGACTTCAAGAAAGCATTCCAAAAACTTGTGCGATGTCGATGCTAGTTTTAAAAATGTTTATTATTGAAGGATGGGGGTTTTTGAGGGGAGGAGTAACTAGATGAATGCTGAATAATAAAGCACTTAAGCTTTTAGAGGGAAATACCTGAATACTGCTAAAATGATAAGGCTATAATTTATATTTTAATAGCAATGTGAATATAAAATTTATTGATCACCATTATTCTAGGGGACTCAAAATTAGAAAATAATTTATGTAGGTTATAAACAATATTTTGCCTATGCAATGTTCCTAAAAAGTTGACTGGAAAAAAAAATACATATATACACAATATTAATGACAGTGATTTTCCATGTTTATGTCTCACAATAATTATAGAGGAGTTTTCAATTAACAACATACCTCCCTCCATAATTTCTATCTAGTCTGTCTCACAATAATTATAGAGGAGTTTTCAATTAACAACATACCTCCCTCCATAATTTCTATCTAGTCCTATTGTTTTATAATATAATTCTATTATTTTGTAGAAGAAAATATAATTCATCACAAAGCACACATTTCACCTATCTCCATTCTTGTCCCTTCTCCATCTCACCCTGAGCAAAAGGGAGGGGGAAGGAGGCAACTCTTACTTAGTGTGACTGGAGAAAATGTAAAAAAGTCAGAGCTTGAAATTGTCCTTGTGTTTAGGTAGTAAAGAGTAATCATAAAGTGGGTTAGGTACAGCAAAATAATTTGATACTGAACTTGTGCATATTTAATATGTTTGTTTAAATAAACTTCTAGAATAATATTACCATATCCATATATTATCAGCATTTGAAATCAAAGCCTTACCTTAGTAACAATAACTCAACAAAGGGGCATGGGTGACGTTGTTATAATTGCTCCTTGTTTACTTAGGAATCAAATTTAAGGCACTAAATATCATAGATTACTCACCACAGTTATTATACTCTTAACATCTTTTTAAAAGTATAAAATGTATTTCATTTCTGTTAATGTTAATAAGCTCAGTTACTAACTAAATTGTCTGTGGTACTTTGCACTTCAGTATTTCTGTACTTTTGATTTAAACATTATTTCCCCTTCATTAGACAGAAGGTAATGGAAATTTTTAGAACTTTCCCTTGACTTTAAAATATTTCTACTTTTCCAACTGATAGAAATGAACAGGCAAAAAGACTCATATTGCACTAATTAATACATGTACACACTTATATATGTTTTTATAATTAGTCACTCTACTACTTCAGTGAGCCAAAGCAATTCCATAAGTTTTTCTCCCATATTTACATAAGGATTTGAAAACAATAGAACCATGAGTTTGAGAGAATTTTATTCTATTTAAACCAGCAAGGTCATAGACTATCTTTGGGAAGACGTATCATCAACCAAGATCATTTGAAAAACAATATATACCTTTTTTTAAGTTGTACCTTTATGTGCATTGTAAATATTCCTTCCTGATGGTGTGCTTAAAAGCACATTACATCTATTTTATGTATGTGTATGTGTCTATATATATATATATATCTGTGACAAATTACTCTCAATCTAACAAACATTTACAGAGTTCCCGTTTTATACAAGGCATTGAGACATATACTAGATAGAAAATACAGGAAATAATAAAATACAGGTTTTTTCCCTGAATATGTTTACAGTCTAAAAGGAGAAACAAGAAAAATTAAAACTATAATAGAAAAGAGCAAACTAAAATCTAGCATGGAAGTTGTTTACACAGTTATGATGGTACAGAGGAAAAACTGATTACATCTTGTTTAGAAAAATCAGAAATGTTTCACAAAGAATGTATCTGGAACACATGTCAAGTACACAGCACTGGGGCAAGAGAAGTGGAAGAGCACACTCCAGGTGATGGCAACATCAGGATACAAACTGCACCACGTAAGTATTTGGTGGGGCATGTTCATGAAATAGCAATGAGTTTGGCAACTATTTAGAGCAATAGAGGAAAAGGAGCCTAAAAGAAACATTGGGCATTTTTGTGGCTGACTTTGAATGTCAGAACAAAAAGTCTACAGTCAATTTTATTGGTAATGATGGGTAATCACTGATACTTTTTAGCAAAAATATTACAAGTCTAGAGTGAATCTAAGCAAAAAAAGAAAGAAAACTGGTTCTATCTCAATTCCATCAGAGAGAAAGCAGAGTTATTATTGATATAATGACTTCCTGTTAGAAAGCAAATCAATAATCCAGGCAAGAGGTGATGAAGTCCTGAACCTGATTCTAGCAATGGCAATGAAAAGAAAGAAACAGATGAACGATGGAACGAAAGAAGTACAATCCTCAGGTTAGAACAAATTCTTTAATAAGCAAGCAGAGGGAGAGACGTCAGTCACTGAGATGACGTCCTTAACCAAAATGAAGAACCCAACAGAAAGGGCCTATTGGTGAAACAGTTACTTCTTTTTTGGGTATGTTAAACACATAAAGACATGTCAGAGCTCATAGATACTAATGACCATGTCTGGCTCAAGCAACACTGACAGGTAGATGAGGTTTCTCTCTGACCTCAAAACTGACAGGTAAACGAGTGTCCCAGCCATCTCTTTTGTCCTCACTTCACTTGACCGCCCAAGGGCCCTTATGCTATGTTGACAGACCAAAGTCGGTCATAGTCCCTGTCATTCTCTGCTTACTTCTCTTTCCCTTCTCTTCTCGCTTACCAAAATTTAATTCTGTGATTTCTTCATTCAATGACTTTGCTAAAGTTAAAATTATCTATTAAGTTAACTTATTTATACCCATCTCAGACATTTATGTATTTGTACTGGGAAACTAAGCGACACAACCCATCAACAACCCAAGCTGAGTAAGGCTCACCCAAATACAGATACTGCCCTCTGGTCTGAGTTGGACTGAGACCCAAATCAAGGAAAATAACACTGTAAGTGACAAAGTCATAGATCCCTTCAGAGCTCAGAGGAGAATCAAGTTTATCATTACTGTGTATGATCCAAAGGACCACAACAAATTCCAATTATTGTCACTTCATCTATGTGTTTCCCCCACATACTGAGGGTACAGAACATGCCTTCCTTCATCAAAAAATATGAATATGAATATTTAGCTATTTTATTTTATTTTATTGGGTCAGGGTCTCACTGTTGCCCAGGCTGGAGTACAGTGGTGTGATCTTGGCTCACCGCAACCTCCGCCTCCTGGGCTAAAGCCATTCTCCCACCTCAGCCTCCCGAGTAACTGGGACTACAGGCATGCATCACTGCACCTGGCTAAGTTATCTATCTTTTGTAGAAACGGGGTTTTACCATGTTGTCCAGGTTGGTCTTAAACTCCTGAGTTCAAGTGATCCTCCCACTTCAGCCTCCAAAAGTGGTGGGATTATAGGTGTGAGCCACCATAACCGGCCCATTTTATTTTTCTAGAGACAAAGTCTCATTCTGTTGCTCAGACTGGAGTACAGTTGTGCAATCACTGCTCACTGCAATCTTGAACCCCTGGGGCTCAAGTGATCCTCTCACCTCAGCCTCCCATGTAGCTGGGACTACAGGCATGCACCACCACACCGGGATAATTTTTTTTATTTCTTACTTTTTGTAGAGATGACATCTTGCTATGTTGCCCAGGCTGGTCTCAAACCCCTGGCCTCAAGTGATCCTCCCACCTTGGCCTCCCAAAGCATTTGGATTACAGGCTTGATCCACCACACCTGGCCTCTCTTTAATATCTTTAAAGTGGTAGGGTCAGGTGGGTTACGTAGAGATTAATCATCTATAATTTGTACTTTCTTTGAAACTTATGAAGGACAGATTACAATTAACATGATATATTTCTCTGAATATGCAGGATTTCAACGAGATTTTTCTATCATTGAAAAATCCTCCAAGTTACTAATAGCTAAGCATTTTTACAGAAATATATATATATATTTGGCACCTATAACAAATATAGCAATATAAGAATTTATGTATTTAACTGATAAGGTAGAAAAAGAAAATATAAATATCATAGAAATAGCTAAATACTAGATAAGGAAGAGTTACCTCCTGCTAGAATTTTACGTATACTGGCACTAGAAAATTAAGTGAAAATTTTATTTTTGCTCCACTCCTCTAAAATTTATCAAGTGATGAAAGGCATGGAAAAGAGACCAAAGAAAGGCAGAAAGTCACACTACTAAAAACTAAATTCACTCCAATACTCTACCATGAGACATACCTATGTAAAAATTAGGCTTGAAAATTCACTTCTGCTTGTGAAATATGGTCTTAACTGTAGAACTGGTTTAAGTATATGGATTGTCTAAGTTAATTGAATTTTTTTGGTTTTGGTTTTGTTCTATTTTACAATAAACACACAGGGTCAAATCTATAGCACAGTTTATCCAAGTCCTGGCAGTCGGTGGGTCCATCCTTAAGTAGAGCCGATTTCCATTTTGAATCTCCAAAACCAGTTTCCTTTCCCTTTTGTAGTGATTTTGATTCCCCACCCACCCATCCTCAGCTTGCCCTAAGTGGTATGTCCCTTGTTTATATCAGTTATGTCAGTTCCAAATTTTAAAATTCCCTTAGCACAGAATCATCCCCACATTCACAGGCTCAAAGTTAAGCTTGTCCCTCTGTACCCAAAGAGTCCTGTGTCAAAACTAAATGGAGAATTAATCGGAAGCCAATTACTAGGCAATGCATTGATTTGCTCCACCCAATAGCATGAAAGTGGAGATTATCATAAGGTTATTGCTGAAATACATTCCTCTACGTCAAGGAAGAAACCATTTTCTGATGACTTTATACCAGACTATTTTTAACTTATAGGTCAAAGAATTAGGTTTACTGCTTTGCAGTACAAAGGAAGTAAGAAAAATATTTCCTTAACATATCCTGAAGTCCTTCAAAAGTAATCCTGCTCAATTCAAAACGTGTCCATATTAATTTGTTTCAGAAAATGTGGTCCTAGACTCTAATAACTAGATAACTAAAATGATTATATTCAGACCTTTATTTTGCCAGAAAATATTCTAAAAACAAACTAATATTTTTGTCATCAATAAAGTAAATATTTTCTTATGATATTGTGATAATTTTTCTTGCTCTTTTGAGTCAATATGCTTTCTCTCATTGTTTTAAATGAGAGAAACTTATTGTTGAGAGAAATATTTTCCAGCATTATAATAAATACTGAGTTATTCATACAGAATATCTTCTCCGTACAAAATGTGGCATGCTTGAAGTCAATCTGGGAAGAATAGAATTTTTTCAAAGAATTTACACACTTTGGTTAGGCCACAAACGATAAAATTTTTGTTTGAGTAAAAAGCATATTATTTTATCAACAGTAACAATGGTAAATCTTGTCAAAGCAATCTTTCATCAAAACTTGTCTTTAGTTTCAGTTCCAATTTTTACCGCAGAGTTTCTTCCTCTGCAAGGACACTAAAATTACCTTACTGATTTATATAGACATAGAAAACCAAAGCAATGTGCATAAGAATCACCAAAGATGCTTGTTACAAAGGTAAATTCCAGATTTGAAATCAGAAAAGGCTGAAGTTGAATTATGGTTCTTCTGCTAATCATTAACTTGATGCTAAGCAACTTTCATCTAACCTGCTTTCTTCAGATTAGAGATGAACAACTACGGAGATAAAGTGAAATAAAGCAAATGCTCTTGAAAAAATGCTAAAAGACTACAAAATAGGAATTTGCATTCTTTATCACTATTCCCCCTACTAAGGAGTGAGTCAGAGGGCATTTGACATGCAACCTGGTGTTCTGCATTATGTGTTTCCTGTTTCTGAGTGTGGAGAAGAGCCGGTAAGTCGTCGATGGCCTTCTGCTCCTGGCTCTCCATGGTAGAACAGTAACTCCCAATAACCCCATACACAGCCACAAATACCACCCTGTGGGTACTCACAGTCTTTTCCTTTGCTCTATACTGCCATCCTTATTACTAAAAGACTGGCATGCTCAAAGCTTGTTTAGCTTTCTAGAAAAATGTAATGCTACCTTATTGAATTCATAACTGCAATTATTCCAGGAGCAATTTCTTCTATTGATGCATTCAGAGACGTTTTTTCATATGTTCTAGATTAGGGCTTTATTTCAATCCTTTAAATAATAAAGGTGAAATTTTCATTTGAAATGAAAATTCTAAGTTGATGAAAACAAGACTAGAGGTGTAATTTCAGGTTCTATTAAGTATTAGAAAAAATACTACTCATTTATATGCAAATATTAATACTTAAGAAACTACTCAATATCAGTGTCTCTCTGATGCTTATTTCACTGCATCCAGACTCTCTTGCTTGGCTTTTAGGGTCTTTATAAGCAAAGTACACTCTCTGGAAAATCTTACTTCCCACTGTCCTCCTTAGTCCCAACAAATGCTATCTTCTCCAGTCTGGTCCCTCTCTCCCCTGTCCTCACCATGTGCCTTCCTCATTCTTGT